CTCTGCGAGCTCCCCGTACTTTCCATCTGCCTTTTGTTGAGTGCCTTCTGCCGAATACTGTTCCTCAGCCTTAATGGATAACTCCGCTGCCTCTGTACACTTTGACGCTTCCTTTTTTTCCTTCCGCAGACGAGGACGTGGACCTGGTGGTGGACTGCGGCAAACACACGATACGCTGGCTGCAAGCACACACCAACATGCGGTATCGGTTTATCTACCTCGTGTCCCTGACCTACCTCTATTACCTCATCAACAGCATCCTCCTTCTTACGACGAGACTGAGTGGCCCTCCTTGTCACTCAAACAACCGGCTACGTCTTAACCGTTTTATCAAGGACTTCCGCTCCATTGCGCCGGCTCTGATGCCCTGCATTCGCACTTACGCCCGGCACATACCAGACACTGCTGTTGCCCTCTCAAATTTGCAGGATGCTGCTCGGAAACTGAACTTACGTCTTTAGAGGATATCCCCTCGATTCAGCTTCCCCATTCTTTCCTCCCGCCTCCGGCCTCTCTTTTCGTGGCCGGTCTCGTACAATTATGTAGACGCATATGTATCTTTGGCTAATGTCTGCAATGCACATCCTATATTACGAGGAAGTTTTGTTGACAGAGCGGATCACATGACTTTACCTTCCTACAATCAGTATCAATCTCAGTATAATTGAGGTTGCGAAAACAGAAATATTCGCCAAGATGGTCGACAGTCTGCTGCGGGTCGAACCAAAGGAGAAAGTTTAGGGGTCGCGTGGATTATGGCAGCAAGGTTCGGTCAATGCAATCGCTGACGGGTTCATCACGTTTCGCAGATAGTCAAGTAGGAAGACCGCGGAGACCTTCGCATGGGAATCATGGCGAAAGAGAGAGAGAGAGAGAGAGAGTGAGCACTAGGTTGCGCACAAAAAATAGTATATAAACAAATTTTGCTAGAATGTAGCAAATAATCTAGCGTTTTCGCCATCATGTCCATCAAGTCTAAGGATTTCAGGTCGTTTCTCTGTAAAACGTTCTGATGTAAAGCAAATGCTACTATAATATAACAAGTAGTATACTACTGTAATTTGTAGAATTTTCCGCTTGCAGTGTTCAATCCGAATTGTAGCGCGCACTGCTATGCCGATCCAGCTTACAGACCTCTAGAGATTTTGACAAAACGACATCCAGAAGAAGAGTATTCCAAACTTCGACCACCCTTATGGAGAAAATGTACTTCCGAGTGTCCAGCCTGGCCCCAGCCAGGCGTAAGTTGACTGGATGACCGCTTTCTTTCATCAGACGGAATATTCTTAGTATAGTGGTTATAGTAGATCGCACATTCTTGGCCGCTACACTCTCTCTCTCTCTCATTTGCCCAAAGTTAACCCCTGTAAAAAAAGATGGTGAAAATGAAAAGAGAGATGAGGAGTATCGTACATTTCAGGAGGAATGGGCCGAATAATTCGGCTTTGTGGAGAGAGCAAGTTATGCGGTGTGTCTCGTTTGCAATGACAAGATTGCATCAATGAAACGGTCGAATGTAAAGCGCCACTTCGACACACGCCATTTTACTTTTGCATGAAAATACTCTGTGAGATATAGCAGAAAGAAATCATATCAAATGCTAATGAGCAGGGTGCAAGCCAGCAAGTCGCAACTCCGCGTATGAACCCAGCAAAGTGACTATAATTCCGCTAGCTTTTCTAGATCTTTAGCAATAGTGAAGAACGGAAAGCCATTCATATATCGCGAGTATGCTAAAACGCTCATGCTGGATGTAGCCAAGAAACGTCTTGATGATCCTCCGAACAAAGACAAGATAATCAAACGGATACAAGACATGCCTCTGTCCGCAAAAACTGTTCATGAGTGTACCATCTTGATGGCAACTCACGTGGAGGAAGCGCATGTGAAAGACATAAATGCAGCGCTGTTCTTTTCCCTGGCCTTGGATGAGCCAACAGACGTAAGCCATTTGGTGCAGTTCAGTGTGATTGCAAGATGTACTGCTGGTGATACACTACGCGAAGAAAGTCTTACTGTTCTGCCAATAAAAGGGCCCACAAATGGTGAGGATTTATTCAAGTCTTTCATGGAGTTCGCTCAAGAAACCAAAACTACCTATGGATAAACTTATCTAAGTGTGTACTGATGGTGCTCCGTGTATGGTGGGAAACAACAAAGGATTTGTGGCGCTTCACTGTGAATATGGGATTGTATGCTCCATATAGTGGTCACATAAAATAACACAGGAAGCTGCAGCTGAAGTCGAAGGAGGGCTGAGGATAATTAAGTGAAGGCAGCCACGTCAGAAGATGAAAATTGGTCTCCTGTCGCGGATCATCAGTGTAAGAGATAAACTGCGGCAATTATTAGTAGGTAGATGGAATTTAAGGCGCGATTAATAAAGTCGGGTCACCAATATGAGATAGACAAGCGTTGGAGTCGACAATGTAGGATATAGAGAACGTCAGAGTCGACAGTTTAGGATATTGAGAACGTCGGAGTCGAGTGTAGAATATATCTTCTCTCTGCTCACCTAAAGGAACCACAGGCCTGGAAGATCGTAGCTGTTAGGATCAACCTTCGTAGCCTTTACCCCTGTCGATAGCAGCATGCTCAATACACCGAGGGAGGAGGGGGCGGGGCAGCAGGACCGAGATTTTCCCACTATTGCGTCATTGCAGGTTTCCGTCTCAAATCGGCCAGAACCCCATCAATAAGCTAAAGTCGATGAGCTAAGAACCCACTGTTTCTTTTGGCCGTGAATAAAGTGGTTGTTCTCAGAAACCGGTTCTCCTGTCTTTTGCCTCTACATGTCGGGGTATAACCGGGAGACAGACAACAGCATATATCTTCAGCTCGTTGTGTTTGCTGGTCGCGGTTGTTACATGGGGGGGGGGCTGTTAGGCAGCGCCTAACTTTGAGGAGCAACATATGGAAGTTGGGGGCAAGTTAGGGGCAAACAGAGAAGCCTTCACCTTCACAAAGTAAACTGAGTCATCTATCGTAGGATTTAATGATGACATACAATTTCGTGACCTCCCATTCATCTGCACATGGTCATTACCTATTAACAAGATAACAGTGTTTCTTGGAAACAGCTATCCGGAGAAGTTCATCGATAAGTATCACCACTACAGACAAGAAAAACCTCCCGAAGTATCAGTGCCATAAAGGCTGGTGGACATCTTCCCCCTTTCAAGGGTGATAATGTGTCCACCGTGATCAAGCGGAGTCTTCGATGTACATTTGAATGAAATTACACCCCCACCTATTCCAGTTAGACTAACTGAAGATATTTTGCCTATGCACGCTAGATCAAACTGCGTCTACGAGTTTACATGTAATTGTGGGCGCAAATACATCTGGCGCAGGCAGAGACAGTTTGCAATTCGGCCAGGTGTCGAAGTGAGTGCTGCGAGC